GAGAGAGAGGGAGAGAGAAATAAAAAGAGAGTTCTAGTCCTAATCAAATCATCACACCGTAGTAGCAGGCAAATGTCGGTCACCCATCTCATAGTGAACGAGCCTCTAAGTGTGAAACATAATACTTCCACACACATGAACTTGACGACAAGACGAAGGTTGAACTAACAAAAGCACATGCCCATGAGTGAAAGAGCAACCAAGTGTTGAAATGGAACACTACCATACATATGAACTTGACAAAGTGAGGGTTGAACTAACGAATCACATGCACATGAGCGAAAGAGTAACCAAGTGATGAAACGGAACACTACCATACATATGAACTTGACAAAGTGAGGGTTGAACTAACGAAGCACATGCATATGAGCGAAAGAGCAACCAAGTGATGAAACGGAACACTACCATACATATGAACTTTGACAAAACGAAGGTTGAACTAACGAAGCGCATGCACATGAGCGAAAGAGCAACCAAGTGATGAAACGGAACACTACCATACATATGAACTTTGATAAAACGAAGGTTGAATTAACGAAAGTACATGCACATGAGTGAATGAGCAACCAAGTGATGAAACGGAACACTACCACTCACATGAACTTGACAAGGTGAATATTGAACTAACAAAAGCTCATGCACACGAGTGAGAGAGCAACCAAGTGATGGAACGGAACACTACCACTCACATGAACTTGACAAGGTGAAGATTGAACTAACAAAAGCTTATGCACATGAGTGAAGAGCAACCAAGTGTTGAAACGGAACACTACCATACGTATGAACTTTGACAAAATGAAGGTTGAACTCACGAAAGTACATGCACACGAGTGAAAGAGCAACTATGTGTGAACCGGAACATCAACACATGCTTGAACTTGTCAAAGTGAAGATCGAACTAGTGGAACACGCTCACATGAGTAAAAGAGCAACTAAGTGTGAACCGGAACATCAACACATGCTTGAACTTGACAAAGTGAAGACTGAACTAGTGGAACATACTCACATGAGTAGAAGAGCAACTAAGTGTGAACCGAAACATCAACACATGCTTGAACTTAACAAGGTGAAATTTGAACTAGTGGAACACATTCGTATGAGTAGAAGAGCAACTAAGTATGAACCGGAACATCAACACATGTTTGAACTTGTCAAAGTAAAGATCGAACTAGTGGAACACGCTCACCTGAGTAGAAAAGCAACTAAGTGTGAACCGAAACATGAACACATGCTTGAACTCGACAAAGTGAAGACTGAACTAGTGAAACATACTCACATGAGTAGAACAGCAACTAAGTGTGAACCGGAACATCAACACATGCTTGAACTTGACAAGGTGAAGATTGAACTAGTGGAACACATTCGTATGAGTAGAAGAGCAA